GAGGTGGCTACTGTCAAGGAGCCCTGTTGTGGATTCATTTCCTTGTTGCAGTGAGCCCATATCAGATCAGTGCATCACTGCCCTCTTGCTTCCAGGGTTGAAAATTTGGCGCCAGCTCCTTTTGTTTGTAGTGATTCTCAGAAGGTTGCTGAATATCTAGAGAAAGGTCAGAGCAGGTCAAGAGCAGTCTTGAGAGATGTAGACATTGAGGCACTAAATAGTTTCCCTCCCTGAAGCTCCAGTCTCTATCAGGTGGCACCTGAGCCTTGAGCACACACAAGGGAAGCAAAGTGTTGACTCGTGCAGGTTTGTGCTCAGTGCATTTGGCAGAACTCTGGCCCTGGCCCTGTGGGCTTGGGCAAAGCAGAACAAGCACAGGTTGTCCTATTTGCTCTTACTAGAAGCTTGTTCTGAAATGGGAAAGGCAGTTAATGGGTTTTCATAGTGACAGTGGGGAAGGGGAATCTTAGTTTTGTTCCATGGATTTGGTTCTGGGTGTGTAAGCAGCCTCTGCCTGCTTCCTCACAGGAGTGTTTGTGAGGTGGTAGGCTGGATAGGAGGTGGGGGTGAGCTGTTCTAGTTAAGCATACTTAAGCTGTGCTCTGTACACCTTCATTACTCCTGGGTCTATGTACCTGCAGCTCTGGCTCCATCCCCTGAGCCTTTATCCTCTGGAGCAGCACGGTCCTGCTTCTGGCTGCCTCTTGGCCCTGGCTGAGCCAGTGCAGCACTAGCAAGAACCTTCCTCTGTCTCAAGTGTGTGTGTGGTACATCATCCCTTGTCCTCCTGAAGGGTCAGCCAAGAATAATTTCCTCCATTTCTCTGAGATGTAAAACAAGGCACAGAGGATTATGTTTCTTCCAAGGCAGTAGAGTAATGGCTGAAACTAGTGACCCATTTCAGCTCAGCTCCAACTTCCAGCTCCCTTGTGTGCCTAGCCTGCTTTCCCACAGCCCTGGGAGAACGTGGGCCAGTCCTGCCTGCTCCAGTCCATAAAGGAGCAATGACTTCCCTGCTGGCCACAGTGCGGGCCTATAGCTTTGTCACCACTTGTTGAGCTGCTTGCTGAGTTCCTCCCTCTCTGCTGCACACTTGTCCTTTGGGAGTTCTGTTGAGCACCTGGGATTTTGTCAAACACTGATCTGATAAAATGCTCCAATTTTCTTGTCTGGATGACATCTGTAAACTTTCTGCATGTGTTGCAACTCACATGGATGGGGCCTGGGCCTTTCTGCCTGTATGTGATGTCTGTCTCTCCCCTCTCCTGCAGGACAGGCTGCTGCTCCTCCAGATTCTTCTGCTCTTTCACAAAGTAAATTCTATCACTTAGTTTATCAAATCTTGATTCCAATCAAGATTGTGAAGTTAATCTCACAACCCCAGATCTGCAGCATCACTAGGACTGTGTTAATGTGTATGTTCAGAACTACAGGATTGCATAATGATTTTCATCTGCTTTCAGAGAGGCAGAAAAGTAACAGGGTGATTTTAAACCTTCCATCTAGGGTCTCTTGGAAGCCTCAAGGTTTACAGGAGAGCTCTTGTGGTCAGAGCTATTTGCATAGAGTGTTTTCTGCCCAAAGGAATGGATGCAAATCTGACTGTGCCTGTATCTACTGAACCAGCCCACAGAAGGACTGAAACTCTGAGGGTGGTCAGACGGGCTGGGGCTGGTACCTGGGGAGTCTGAGTGTGCTCCTGGCTGTAGAAGGCTGCAATGTTATCATGGAACTTCTTATGGGATCAGGGCACTGATTTGGTCAGTTATTGTGTGGACTTAATGGCACCTTCTATCTCTTCTGGATGTTTGCATGAGAGTCCCTAGACCTGCGGGCAGGGGGTGCCTCTGTGCACACTGGTGAAACTTGGTTTCTGCCCAACTTCTGTGAAACAGCTAAGGGGTCTTCAGCTGTTCCTGCCCTGTCCATGAAGCCTGTGCTGACCTCCAAGAGAATATTTTAAGGGTTTTTTTCTAAGGCAAGGATACTTAGTTGTTGGGGTTTCTTTGCTCTTTGTTTGTTTGTTTGGGGTTTGTGTTTTTTTTGTTTGTTTTTTTTTAGAAGGAGTGTTAATTTGCAAAGCTTTCTATTTGTGTGAGCAAATGAGCAGTGGTTTACTCTGGGAAGGCTGCGTTTACTTCTGGGCTTGCTGCTGGGTGAAACTCATGAGAGGAGGGAAAAGGGGTTCTTACTTCTGCCCTTTTCCTCCTGTTTCAAAAGCCTTAAAAGAGGCTGTTGAGCTCATTATAGGACTTGATCCTCTCTCCTGGTGTGGCTCCTGCTGACACCAGAGGACCCCTTGTCCCCTTCATTGCTTCCCAGTTCCCTGCAGGGCTCGGTGTGATGCTTGCAGATCTGACTTCCCTCTGTGTTGGCCTCTCTCCTGTTGGGTGGCATTGACCTGTCACTTGCTGTGCTCCCTGTGCCTGGCAAGGAGAGAGATCAGTGCCAGGCAAACACACCAATGTCCTTGCTGTGAAAACTGCTGCACATATATCTAGTGTATCTCCCAATTCAAGGTTTGTTGGAGAGATAAGATGCTTTGTGGTTTGTTTGTATGTGCTGTGGCCCCTTTCCTTGTGTCTCTCAGGGCAAGCCTTGCTTTTCTTCTGTGGAAATTACTGAGCCAGCTGGGCTGCCTCTTTGCACCCCTGCAGTGCCTGAAAAGCAAAGGCAGGACCAGGCAGACTCAGCTGCAGAGGCTGCATGGATTTAAATTCAGGGATGAGATCGAGCCCTGGAATTTGGATTTGAAGGCTTAAGTATTCAGGGCAGCTTGCAGGAGGGAGCTAACCACCTGGAAAAGTGAGGGGCCACAGAGCAGGGACACCAGCCAGAACTGATGGCCTGAAAAAATCTGAGGGGCAAATTCTGCAGCAGAAAAGAAAATGCATTTGTGGGACAAATAGGGGCTGGCACAAGGTGCTGTAAGGCTGTGATTGTCCCTTGGAAAGCCCATCAAATATTGAGCTGGGCCCATGCTGATCAAAAAGAGCAAGGAGGCTGAGATCAGTTTGCTGCCCTGCAAACACAACTCCAACTTCTCCTAGGGCACATCCCTCTGGCAGATGACCTGTCATGGGAGCAGTGGTGCCCAGCCTGCCCTTGGCAAATGAGAGTGAGACAGAATGAAATATTCCTCTGTGCTGCTCTAATAAGTGCAAAGTGAATGGAGGAAACTTGGTGACTTGAGAAACTGAATTTCCTCTTAGAAAAAAAAAAACAACACAGATTTTTTAATTATTATTATTATTTTAAATCCTGTATCTATTGAACCTGAGGTTCTCTCTACTGAAACTATCTCAGTGATATGGTTGAATTAACTTACATTTAAAACTTTGGACTGAAGAATAGGATCCCCCTTCTCCCTTATGAAAAATACTTGTGCTCCTGCATGTCTTTGAAGCAAGCATTCCCTTCCAACCAGAAAGCTTTGGGTGGAAAATTTTCATTTTGGGGTGAAAAGCCAAAAATTTCCAATTCTCTTCAACACTATGAATCCACTTTTGGGAGTGTGTTTCCAGCCAGTTCTCATTCTCAGGCTGAAGTTTCTTGCCCTGTGGTTCCTTGTCTCTCTCCTGCCTGGCTCACCAATAATGTTGTCATTTGTTGTCACAACAACAAAGAATCAGCCCCATGGCCTCTCACTCAACTTCCCCACACACACTCTGGGATGAGGAGGACAAACCCAACTAGAAGCTCATGGGTTGAGACAAAGGACAAGGAGGGACCTTCACCGATTAAGGTCATGGGCAAAAGATACTCAACTTGGGTAATAATAATAATTTCACACTGCCCACAGGACACAGACACCCCCAGAGCAGGGCTCACACACGTTACCCCCCTCCCTTCTTCCCACCCAAATCCCTTTGTTCCCAGTTTCTCTCCCTCCCTCCCCCCAGTAGCACAGGGGATGGGGTTTAGAGTCAGTTCAGGCTGGTGGGTCCTGCTGCTCCTTCCTCCTCAGAGAGGATTCCTCACAGTCCTGCCCTGCTCCCCACGGGTCCCTCCCATGGCAGATCCTCCCACAGCCTCTCCTCCAGGAATCTGATTCCACTGGCCACAAAACCCAAGCCCACTGGCCAAGTTCACCCCTCCTGGCACCGCCAGGGAATGTTCCACCACATTTCTCCTTGAGGGCAGGGGCACAGCTGCCATCTCGTCATGGGCTGCAGGGAAACTTCTGCTCGGGAACCTTCTTCCTCACCAACCACCAGCACTGCTCTGCTCCTACAGCACAGCTGTTCTTAACTTCTGGCTCTGCTCAGATCTTATCTCAGTCCTTTCGTATGTTAATGGCAGAGGTTCATCTGTTGTCCCTCTAAAGGTTCCTGGGCTGGTTTGGAGCAGGGGGAGCTTCTCAGATTCTCACCAGAGCTACCTCTAGGGCCCTTCCATTGCTACCAAAAGACATTCTGAGATTCCTGTGAAGCAAGTGAAAACTCACATTTAGGGCTGGGATTCTGCAGTGTTGGGGAAGACAATGTGGCTGGATGACAACTCTGCAAAGAGCAGAATCTGTAATTCTTTCTCCCACTCCAGTGCTGTGAGAGCTGCCCTGTCCCTTTTCCCAAGGCAGCATCTGTCAGGGCTCCTGCCTGTCTGCTCTCCCAGCCCTTGGCTGGCAACCACTTTTGTCACTGGGCACTGCAATGAATATTGTTCCTGAAATGCGTTCCTCAAAGGGAATTCTGTAAGACAAAACAAGGTGAGCATTGGTTGTGGGTTGGTATCTGGAGCTGGTGCTTGTGTTACCATGCCTCACCCAGTTCCCATGTCCTGATGGGTTGAACTGCACCAAAATCCAAGCACATTCTGTCTGTCCTTCCTATCCGTCCTCCTTCCCTTCCTCCACCCCCAGGAAGGCTGGCCTAGTTTTTTTTCTTTGTTTTGTTCCCTCCCTTCATTTTTTTCTCCCCCCCTCAGCTGTGCTCATAACTCCTCATTTGGCTTTGCAACAAAGGACAGCCCAGGAGCTGTGGAGTAGGACCCGAGGCAGCATGATGGCTCAAGGCACCGCTGGGCTCCTGCGGAGGGGCCTGAACATCAGCAAAACCTGCTTCTTCCCTCTCTGTGGGACGACTCAGCAGCACCACACACCAGCTGCACGTGCGTTAAGAAGAGGCTTCAGCTCCACGCAGAAGCTCTGGGATGTCCCTGGGGAGTCCAGGTGAGTAGGATGTGAAGCCTTGGTGGGAAAGGACCTTTTCAGGGAGGGACACACACTTGCCTCCACCTTGCTCCATGGAAGGGAGAGGAGAGAGACCTGTGCAGGACTGGGTGGATGAGGTGCTGCTCATCTGGGAGGTGCTGCTCCCTACTCCTGGAGCTGTGAAGAGCACTGCTGGTGGCCTGCATCTTGAGCATGAAGATGCAGGTAAAAGCAGAGGCTTTTAACAAGCAGTGGACATGCTACTGACACAGAAAAGTCTGCGTTGTTGGGAGATACGTGATGTGCACTTCAAGAGAATTAAGTGTAAATGGATATCAAGGAACTGAGGCAGGGTGCCAATTTTTCTCATTATATATATGAAGTCAAATTGCATAAAGACAATGACAGAACCCAGAGAGGCCCACTAGAAATATATAACAAATATATAGCCTCTTGTTCTTGCTTGAGACTGCCTTTCTTATGGTGAAAGCAGCTAAATAGGCAGTATCTTCCTGAAATGTTTCCTTTGACACCTGTCATTTGAGATCAAATAGATGGGGATATATATTTATATTAAACATCACATTGTAAACTCTAAGATTTCCCTTCCCCCTCATCAGTCCCGACTGGATGGTTGGACTTGGTGATCTTAGAGGTCTTTTCCAACCATGATAATTCTGTCACTACATGGCACAAGAGTCCATTGACCACTGGGGCCTGGTTACCAGCCTTGGAGGAATGGGGATGGTGGGCAAGGTGTGTTGGAGAGCTGGGCCATGGTCCTGCTGTATTCGGGGAAGCTGCTGCTGGCCACAGTGGGGCTCTGGGAGCTGCAAATTCTCTTGGATTTCACGTCCCGCTGGGAAGGCAGAGCAGGGAATGCCTGTGGCTCCAGGGAGCAAAGTGTTCTCCCTAGGACACTGGGAGCTGCTGCCTTGCCTTGCTGGAGAGCTCTCCTGGCAGGGAGATGGCAGGTGGTGGCCGTGAGTTCCAGATTCCTGGAAGGCTGGACATTCCTCAAGAAGGAAATCAAGGTGTAGGAGCAGACCATCTCATGTGCTGAGAGGACAGGGCTGCCTGGCACAGAGTCCTGAGCCACCTTTCTACAGCAGGCCCACTCCCTGCCAGCTCTTCCTCTCTGTTCCCTAGGGATAATTCAGGAGATGGCATTTCTCTGAGAAAAAGAAAAGGAATTTTTAGATCTCCTAGACCAGTACAATCTGGGTCAAACTGATCTGCTAGACATTGAGAAAAAGACCCAACCAACATCACAGAAAATACAACAAAGCATTTAGCTATCTTACCTCAGACTAAAGTTGCACTGATAACCCTGTGTAATGGGATTTACGGAGACTTGTTATCAATGGGTTTTCTTTCTAATTGGTTTGCTGCTTTTGAAGTTCTCTCCAAGTACTTGGAGGCATCTCACTGTTTCGTATGGCCTTGGAAAGTATCTTTTTTGGGAAAAACACTGTCAGGGAGAAGAACCTTCTTGAAACCCCCTTCATTAGATTGAGAAAGTTTGTCATAGAGAGTTTGAGGTGTTTTTTGTTTGTTTTTTTTTAAGGGAATAATCGGTTGGAATTTCTCCTCTGCAGCATGGTCTGGGTGTTAACTTCAGTGCTGTTTTCATAATCAGGGGACCCTGTTGGAGTCTATGGCCCAGGCATTGTTTTCTGCTGAAGTTTTCTGAAAAAGAGGAAGCCAGGTGCCTCAGATGAGGGTGCAGTGGCCTCTGTGTTGTCCTGCTAGTTCAATCAAGACACAACTGAAAATAAAAGAGCTGAGAAGGCAATAAACAGTTTCATCTATTTTCTCCACTTTCAAATCTTCATGGAATATGGGGATTTGCTTTCCAAAGAGAGGACTGGAATTTCCTGTGCCTGCAGTCTTGTTGGTGAGGTCTATGTCACAACATTTTAAGGAACATCATCCTTAGTCACTTAGAGATGTAGTGCAGTGTTTGTTAGTAGGTAAATGGGATTAGATCTAGAGGGTGATTGTGACTCGTGTGAATTGGAACGGGTAAAACCTGCAGACTTGAAAGAGGAGATTATTTCTTCTCCCTTTTCCATTGTTTTTACAGGAATTATTTCCTGTCCCCTATTCAGTTGGGTGCATCCCCTATAATCTACCTCTGCCACTTGTGAGTTAAGAAAGGGCAAAGGAAATTGTTTAAACTTGATTCTTGTAGTTTTCTGTGCTTAACATTAAAAGAAAATCAGCACAGATCTCCACAGGTTTCTTTTTAATCTGTCTCAGAGCAGAGAGGGCCGAGCAGGCAGCCTAAGTCCTTGCCAGTGTTGCTGCTATCCCATGGACAATTCCCATTTAACCAAGTCCTACTTCCAGTCTCTGTGGCTTTCCAAGAGAGTGCCTGGCACTGTGGGCATTAAAGTACTTCCTTAGCTGGCAGATGTGCTGTAACGTGACATTTTGCATTCTGTGTGTATTGCAAATACACTGCAAGGAACCAGGAGACAATATTAGAAATTCTCAGAGCTCTGAGCCATGTTTGCTGTTAGTTTCACTGGTTTCAGGGTTTCCAGGCTTCATATCAAACAGCATGGATGCTGGTTCTCTTGTTCTACACTTGTTCATGTGCAGGGATGTTTGTTAAAGTGTGAAATATTTTCAGCCATCTCAGATCTGACTGTCAATGAGAAGTGACAATCTGAATTTTGCTGATGTGTGGTGTAATCTTCCCAGAAAGGGTCTGTGTGCACACTTCCTTCCACCTCTGTAGTGCTCAGCCAAAAGACATCAGTGCTGGGTATGTAGGAAAGGGTGGGCTTCTCTGATTTTGCAAACTTGTCTTGCAGCTCTGCAGAGCAGGTGACAGTGCACTTCATAAATCGGGATGGAGAGCGACTGACGGCCACAGCCACGGAAGGGGAGAGTTTGCTGCAAGTGGTAGTTAATCAAAACTTGGCCATTGATGGGTTTGGTAGGTGTTGCATGAGAGTATATACTCTCGGGATTTTTGTGTCTCTGCTGTGACCTGTGGATATCTGGGAACAATGTAACTGTACACATGCCACTGTTCTGGTGAGACCATGAACAGGGTTCTCTTCCCCAGCAGCTGCTGCTAGGCTGGCTCACCACACTGTGTGACATCCCATTGTCACCCCTGGGATTGCAACAGCTGATGTCAATATGTTTGGCTGGTTAGACCTGACTTACAAATTTGAATACTGATTGTGATCCTCCCAGAGAAAAGGCAGGCTGAAATTTTCATCCATCTCTTGTGTTTCCTGGCATCTCTCTTGACATGTTCCAGGTCTGTTAAAGGGCCTGTTCTCATGCTGTTCCTGAGGATGATCTCTCTCACCTCCCTTGGTTTTTCTGATTTGCTGTTTCTCCACCAGGTGCATGTGAAGGGACATTAGCCTGCTCCACTTGTCACCTCATCTTTGAGAAGGACACCTTCCAAAAGCTGGATGCCATCTCAGATGAAGAGCTGGACATGCTGGACTTAGCATATGGACTCACTGAGACGTAAGCCCCACTGCTAATGGCTGTAAATTCTCAACCGTCCCCAGCACCTCAGCCCTATTTCCAAGGGGTCAGGATTTGTTCTGTATTATGGTTGTGCCTCTAGAGCTGCTCTCCTGGGGCACAGGAGACCTCTGAGAGGAACTTTAGTGAAAACCCAGCCTGGGGCTGGCATCCTGATGTAGGTGAGGAATGTTTTCCTTTACTGAGCCTCACTGAAAGTTTTTTTCTCAGGTCACGCCTTGGCTGCCAGGTGTGTGTTAAGAAGTCAATGGATGGTGTGACAGTGCGTGTCCCCATGGATGTGTCAGACATCAGGAACCAGATGGAGGTTGGAAAGTAAAGCAAACAGTAACTGGAACCAACTCCTGTATGACTCCTGTCCTAATTTTAGTGTTGCTGTTGGTTAACACTGTTGCTTTCTGTGACTGGCTGTAGGAGACTGTTGAGGTCTTGGTCAGTGTAAAGCCTGTTCGGCAAATCTCTTATTTAAACCAAACTTAATGTTAAGGTCTTTAGCAAGTTAAAGCTAAGAGCCTAAGTGCTTTCCTGAATGCATCTGGACTGAAGTGTATGGCTTCATGTTTTGGCAGGTGACAGTAAACATCTAAGCTGTATGTAACTCACCTCTCCTTTGAATTTTAAGGAATTCTGCTATTCTAATTAGCTCCTGGGAATTTTGCAAGGTTTGGTTCTTTAACTGTAGGGCAGAATTTTTTTTTTTCCTAATTTGAGAAGCTTGAGGAGAGAGAGCTGTTCCAAATGCAAAACAGTGTGCTGGTTGGCTTTGTGATCCAGGCTGTTTAGTTAGCAAGAAGATACTGATAACCTGATAATTTGAGTGCTGACATTTGCTATCAGAGAGAGCCACTTTCTATGAATTTGAGATGTTACATGTCACTGAATTGTAATGTGCCATAATCTAATCTGCTAAATTCTCCAAATATTACTTTTTCCCATTGCTGTACTACCATATCCATAAAATAAAACCAGGCTTTTAGACATATGAGATTCACTTTTCTGGGAACATGATCATGGTTGGAATAACATGAACCAGTGTAAAAAATCCCCTTTGAAAATCAGAAGCTCAGTAACTGAGAGAAGCATGTAGCACTTGTGCTCAAGTATATTTAAGAAGGAATGACAGCTGTTGGAGGCACAAGGAACATGCACAAAAGGAGATGTGGGAGCTGATGTGGGAGGAGGGAGTGAAGGAGTCAGATTGAAGGGAACAGTGTTGGTGACCCAGCCATGGAAGGAGGTGCTCTGTCCCAAGCATAACTCTGGGGGAACCGCAGCCCATGGACAACACACACCAGGGGACAACCCTGAGGGAGTTGTGGCCCCTGGAGGCTCTTGAGCAGAGGTAGCAATTAAGAAACCAGGAGCAATGGAAGTAAATTAATAGGAAACCAGGACTGTCAGGAAGAGTTAGGCACTGAACTTGACCTCCTGTGACACCTCCTCCCTCGCTGAAGGGATTGAGAAGGACTGGTGTAAACAAGGGATGTTGAGGCAGGAAAATGGGGTGGAGAATGAGTTGGGTTTGACTGAGGTTGAGTTTGTGGAAGGGTGAGGAAAAGTGTGTCTCTGTTTGTTCGTAATCTTGGCCCCCACCAATACCTGAATTGGTAATTAAATGTTGATGCTAATTGGCAATACATCAAATGAAGGAAATCCTGCAAGTTGAGGTGTTCCAGCCTGTGACATTAGTACCTGATCTAGATCCATCTAAATAGATTCTAATCTGGGCCATAGTACGAGATTATAAAAACATTTTGTACACAGAGGTGTTACCTTTCATTAGACCCAATGCTGGAGCTGAGGGGAGTGTGAACAGCTTCAGCCACACACGTGCTTCTTTGGGTTTGGAAACAGCTGGAAACTCCAAGTTCAAGCATCCTAGTGCCAAATGAGTGGAAAGGACCATTCAAAGGTCAGAGTCACTGCAAGTGTATGACATAATTTTGTAGAGGACCCCCCTGTAACTCTGCCTTCCTCCTTCTGGAGTTCTGCCCCCCCCGCCCAAATCCCGCTGCTTTTGACCTGTGTTTGTGCTGGGTTTGGAGGCCAGGGCCCCCCTGGAGAAGTGCAAAGAAATAAGAACATGATCTCCCAGATCTTCAGTTCCTGGCATTGCGCATCGCGCCGGAGGCTCTGCAGGGTCTGGGGGCTTCGCAGGGGCCGGGGCTGCCGCGGGGTGTGTGCGTGGGGCCGCTGGACGCG